TTCTCTAAGTGCAGCACACAGCTGGGCCTCCGGAAGATCAGAAGCCACCTACTCCACCTCTCCACATTGAAAATCTGGGAGCCAGAGTCTCTCAGGTTTGCCCCTCCCTCATTACATCTCCTTTCTTTGTTTACTGTTTATACTGCCTACCTCTAAGGAGGAATCAGAATGGAAATGGACTTTCTTCCGTGTGTGTGTGTGTGTGTGTGTGTGTGTGTGTGTGTGGTGTGTGTGTTTAACTGCGGGGCACTAGGTATTGAATCCAAGGCCTTCAGACCAAACTGCATCCCCAGCTCTTTTGGGTCTCTCTGGCTAAACAAGTTGTTCAATCTCCGCTCACAGTTTCAATCCACCTGCCTTGGCTTCCCAGAAGCTCCCAACTCCTCTCTGATGCTCGCCTCCCTCACAGACCCCATAACCAGACTCTTTTCCGAGCCTCTCTCCAGCTCCATCCCGCCGGCACCCTCCTCCATACCTCCAAAACCCTGGCTCCGCAGCTTGCGGTAGGAGTGGTAAACCTCCTGCGTGAGGTAGTTGATGAAGCCGTCCCTGCGCACGAACTTGCACACAAAGTTCTGCTCATACAGGCAGTTCATGAGGAAGCAGGCGGCGATGGCGTCCTCCCCGCCGTCGGGCTGCAGCTCCACCAGCGCCAGGTTACAGTTCTGGGTGGTGCAGCAGGCACGAACACACTCCCTGCCCCGCCGCACCTCTGGGGACCACAGGAAGGTGGCCCCGTTGCTGACTGAGGCCTCGGTGTCCAACACGAAGGCAGGGACCCCGCTGGTGAAGCGGGCCAGACAGGAAGCTTCCGTGGGCAGCTCAGGCGGTTCGGGCGGCAACTCGGCGGCCGCGTCCCGGAGACCGAGGGCGCAGAGGAGCCACACGGCTGCGGCGATGGCGCTAGCCATCGTCCTCCCGGCTGCGGTGGTCCTTCTCCCCAGAGGAATCACCCTCACAGTGCAGGTCTCTGGGTTTTGAAGGTGCCTGGGACCTGGGGGTGGGAAAAGGGGGAAACACACCTGATTAGCCCAGGAGACCTCGGGCAAGGCACGTCTCCCGGGAGGTGGAGACGTGGCCCATCCAGGACCCCGAAGGAGGAACTCGCGGGGCGCCGGGGCCCACATACCGGGACACACGCAGGGGCGCAGAGCGCACGGCCGAACATTCTGGGGGCGCTGCGCCACAGCCTCGCGCGTCGAGCTCCGGTTACCTGCGCAGGTGAGCGGGAGGGGCCGGGCCTGCGGAGGATGCGGGCCCCACTTCCTGCGCGGCTCAGCCGCGGCTTCCGCTCAGGGGCCAGCAGCGCCGGCGATCTGCTACCTCTTCCCCCAGTTTCCAGTGAAACTGAGTCAGTAGGGCCGGGGCGGGGCGAGTGTTAAACCCCCGCGCCTTGGGGCCCCGCCCAGCCCGACTTCCGGCCAGGCCTTCGCCCAGCGACCTGGAGCGCCACCGCAGCACCTGCGCCCGGAAGCCCGGGCCGCCTTGACCTACCACGACAGGCCCCCTGTTCCCCAGAAGGACATCCTGAACCCCGAAGGCGGGGACAGGGGCAGGACTGCAACAAAGTCGCGCAGGTAGGGCGCTCTAGGACGGCAGGCCTCCGGCTTGCCTTTCTGGTTGGAACAGGATTCCCAGCCCCAGGCCTTGGTCATTTAGGAAGGGGCTGGAAGGGATGCAAGCGACTTTGCCATCGTTAGACAACCCTGGAGGCATCCTTCCCATTTCTTGGAGTCGAGGCAACTGAAGCTTAAAGGCTACCCTTGTGAAGGAAATCGCCTCAGTTGCGCTGTCCATGCTCCTTGCTGGGCTACTGCTGTCCCTGGAGCTCAGGTTCCTGCCTCCACAAAGGATGTGCTCCCGCTCCAGAGCTGACCATCCTCTGCCACACAAGCGTCTACCTCAGAGTCTTGGAAGTTCCAGCTCACCGAAATAACCGAGTCCAGTGCCCTGGACTCGACACCAAGCTCACTGCCCTTCCAAAGTGAAAAACTTCAAAGACACTCTACACAACCGGATTAGTCCTCAATGCTGTCTTCCAGCCAAAAGGGACTCCACTCACACTTCCGATCAAACTCTTGACTCAATGGGAACATTCTTCCCCATTTCCCACCCAGAGTAGGCCTTGCAGAGGAGGGATATCTTCATGAACTGGAGCAGTATTTAGCTGCCCTCATTATGGATGTTGGGAGCAGTGGGGTACGCCTCCCTTTCATTAGTTTTATGGGGCGTTCCATAGCCCCTGGCATCGTGGGAACCATGATCATATACTGGAAAAGAAGCAAATGATTGTGCAGTTGCTAGGAAGTAAAGGCTTTGTAGTGATTTGATTCCTGCTTTCCCCATAGTTTACAATACAATCTCAAGATTTAAGATTATTCAAGAATTCTAATATAGAAGAATATTGCTGGATAGTCATATCACCATATTTTTTATTTCCATTATTTGCACCATTATGGAAACCTACATTTGCTGGATGAGGTGGCACACACTTATAATCCCAGCACTGGCGAGGCTGAGATAGAATCACAAGCTTGACCCTAGCCTGAGCAACTTAGTGAGACCCTGTCTCAAAATGAAAAACTAAAGGGCTGGGGAATGATTGATACTGGCTCAATCCTTAATACTGGAAAAGGAAAACCAGAAAGTGCTAGGCATGGTGGTGCATGCTTGAATTCCCAGCACTGGGGAGGCTGAGGCAGGAGGAATACTGCAAGTTTGAGGCCTAGTTGAACTACATAGTGAATTCAAGGCCAGCCTGAACTATACAGCAAGGCCCTGTCTTAAGAGACAGACAAAAACAAACTCTGTTCATGAGCACATCCCACACATCACCCAAAATAATCAATTAAACAGAGACATAGGGACTAGTTTTTATTCCAATCCTACAGATGAGCCCAAGCAGGCAGGATAGCAGGTAAATGCTGAATGGGGATTGCAGCCCAGGTACCTCAACCTTCTCAGCACCTAGATACGGCCTTATGGTTCTTGGAAGTCTGACTTTTCCTAGAAGTTTTACATTCTTCTCAAATTCATTTTGCTTAAAACAAAAACTTATTTTCCAGTGGTGAGCACCCACTGCTTATGATGCCTTCTGCTGTGGTTTAAAGATGGTTTGGCTCTTGTTGAATTTTTTTTTCCCCTTTGGTACTTGGGATTAAACCCAAGGCTTTGGCATTGAGCTACACCCCCACCCCCTTTTTATTTCTTTGAGACAAGGTCTTGTTAAATCACCATACTGCCCAGGCTGGGCTAGAACTTGCAGTCCTTCTACTTCAGCCTCCCCGAGTACTGGGAATAAGCACAGCACCAAGCAAAGCTGATGTTGAAATGTGATGCCACTGTGGCTGAATTGGGAGGTGGGGCTGACTTGGTGAGGTGATCAGGTCATGAAGAAGGACTAATATCTTTCTCCTGGGCCAGATTAATTCTAGAAAGACTGGATTGGTCACCATGAAAGTAACTGCCCCTCCCGAGTGCCACTGCCCCTCCCGAATTGCATCTTTCATACAGATCCACTTGCCCTTCTACTTTTTGGCCATTGTTGTGATACTGCATGAGACCCTCCCCCGATAACAAGTGTCAAATCTTTGTCTTGTTCAAGGTCTTGCTGTATAGTCTAGGCTGGCCTTGAATTCGTTATGAAGCCCAAGCAGGGCTTCAACTTGCAGTCCTCCTGCCTCATCCTCCTCCTCCTCCTGTCTGCATACCTGTACTCACAGCATTTAGGAGGATGAAGCAGGAGGATTGCTCAGAGTTTCAGGACAGCCTGAGCTAGAGTGAGTCCTTGTCTAAAAACAAAAACATTGTCAGTAGACAAGGGGGTGAGTTGTGCACCAAGGTCATGTGGGTGTCAGCACTCACCAAGGCAGAGCTGAGTTTGTGGTCTCCAAGGTGATGGAGGCAGGAGACAGGACCACCAGAAGACGCAGAGCCTCAGGTTTTGGTTCAGTGCGAACTGCTGTGAGGACAATCAGGTGTCCATGCAACAGGTTCACCATATATCCAGCACTACCATGTACCTCTAGCTCAAGCACAGGTGTTGGTGACCAGTGAATTGGGAAAGTTCTCGGATCCTGCCCTGGCCTCATGCACTATGCATTGCAACTACAAAGCCAAAGATTCCATGGGTGCAGGGAAAGGAGCTTCCAGTGAAACAGCAGTCAGGCAGCTATGTGGCCAGGTATATGGATGACCACACGAACCTCATTCCAACTGTGGTCCAAAAAATAAAGGGGAGGGGCCATGGAGATGGCTCAGTAGAATAGGTGCTTGCCTGACAAGTGCAAGGCCCCGAGTCCAATCCCCGGTTCCACCAAAAAAATAAAAGGGACTCTGTCATCCACAGGGGAGTAAAAATAATTGCCCAGGCCATCGGGGCTGAGTGTAGGAATCTATTTAAAAAGAAGAATGGGAATTTTAGTCTTTTAAGTAAAACTTATGAATGAGGGAAGTAAGAATTGCAGCAGGTTTAAGACACTTCACTTGCCTCTGAGACCTGGTTCCTCCATGTTTGGATCCTAGAAAGTATAATGGAAAAGCACTTGTGCTAAATTTGGGCCAAAGATAACATAAGTAAGCATTTTAGAGCCTCAGTTTCCTATGAAACTTTTCCTGGCACGGAGATCTCCCTTATGGAACTCAGAACCCCCAAACACAGACACCAAGAGCCTGGTGGATTCCTCCAACTGCTTGTGACCTGGTGGCGTTGAGCCAGGAGTTTCTGTTTGTAGCCAGCGGAAGTATTGTTGCACCTCTGGATGCTATAAATCTAAATCACTAATTTAGAAGGGGAAGGGGGTTTCTAGATTTTCATTTTATTATTATTATTATTATTATTATTATTTTTTCAGTACCAGGGATTGAACTCAGGACCCTGCACTTGCCAGGTAAGCACTTATTCTACTGAGCTGTCTCCCCCAGCCCTAGATTTTCATTTTACCATGAAGTGGGATTTAAGATGCAGAATTGAAAGGAACAGCAGATTAGATAAGAACTCTGGAAGGTTCCTTGTGTATATCTGTTTCTAACCATCAAGATATGGACGTGCACTTCTTGAAATTCTTACACTGCATCTTTCAGCCTGGAGGCCACTGAGAAAACATGAGAGTGGGTGTCACACACAGTATGGCAAGCGCAGCTTCCATCTTCCCTGGCTGGCTGATGGGCCCGCAGGCTTTTGCTTCAGTGACAAGACATCTGGCAGGGACACTCTCCCCTGCAGGGGAAAGGGTTTGGACTGTTTTGTAGATGCTGGTGTCCTGAAATGAGCAGTGCAACAGGAACCCTTAGTGAGTTAAGAGAGCCTAAACTTGAAGAAATCTGGTTTATAAAGAATAGAGTAGGGGCCGGGGAGATGGCTCAGTGGAATAAGTGCTTCCTTGGCAAGCACAAGGGTCTGAGTTCAATCCCTGGTTCCGCCAAAAAAAAAAGACTAGAGTGAAGTAAAAGCCTGCAGCTAGCATTGCTTCCTTGGCCCCCTGAGTTAACAGTGCTGTACTGAGATAATTCCCTGGCAACAAGAAGGTCTGAAAGTAAGCAATTCATGACTCCTTTAGAGCAAGGGGGTGGGACAGTCCCCACTATTACCAACTACTGATTTTTGCCTGGGGATAGTTCTTTTTTTTTTTTTAATATTTATTTATTTATTTTGTGTGTGTGTGGCCAGCTCAGCCCACCAGAGGGTGGGGCTGGCTGGCATGTGGTGCTGGAGGATTGAACCGCGGTCCCTGTGCTTTGCTTAGCTTGTTCTAAGTAGGTGCTTTAGACCACTGAGCCATCTCATCAGCCCCTGGGGATAGTGCAGTGTTCCTGCCCCAGCATGGAACTTTACCTTTTGGATAAGCAGCTTTTGTCCTTTTACCAATTTACTCCAACTTCAAATTATAGTATAGCCTATCTGGTGGCTGCACGAGGCAGTGATATATTTTCCTGGTGATTTGGTTTAATTCTTTTTCCTCCTCTTCCACCACCTCTTGTTCTTTTCCTCTTCTTCCTCTTCTTCCTCTTCCTCCTCTTCTCTTCCTCTTCCTTCTCTTCCTCTTCCCCCTTTCTTCCTCTTCCTCTTCCTCTTCTTCTTCCTCTTCCTCCTCCTCCTCTTCTTCTTCCTTCTTCCTCTTCCTCCTCTTCCTCTTCCCCCTCTTCTTCCTCTTCCTCCTCCTCTTCTTCCTTCTTCCTTTTTCTCCTCTTCCTCTTCCCCCTCTTCTTCCTCTTCCTCCTCTTCCTTTTTCCTTCTTTTTCTTCCTCTTCTTCCTTCTCTTCCTCTTCTTCATCTTCCTTCTTTCTCTTCATCTTCCTCTTCTTCCTCTTTCTCCTCTTCCTCTTCCTCTTCTTCCTCTTCCTCCTCTTCTTTCTTCTGTTACTCTTCTTCATCCTCTTCTTCC